CACTAGAGGGGCATCCATTTAATATGCGTGGGGGGAGAAATGGGTAGGATAGAAAGCACTGTAATATAAAGAAAACTGTGATTAGGGCCACAACTGAAGCACTGATAGAGGCATGTGCAGATTGATTGATTGATTGATTGAATGAGACAGGGTCTCATTTTGTACCCCAGGCTGGAGTGCAGTGGTGCTATAATAGCTCGCTGCAACCTCGAACTCCAGGACTGAAGTGATCCTCCCACCTCGGCCTCCCGGGTAGCTGGGACTACAGCCGCGGACCAACACACCCAGCTAACTTTTTTATTTATTTTATTTTTAGTACAGACAAGGTCTCCCTGTGTTGCCTAGGCTGGGCTCAGACTCCTGGGCTCAAGTGAGCCTCCCACCTCAACCTCCCGAAGTGTTGCGATTATAGGCCTGAGCCACCATGCCTGGCCTTGTGCATATTTAAAGGGAAGAAAGATATTAGCCACTTGTGGGTAGGGGAGGTGAGGGTAAGGCTCCACGGAATAGATAGCATTTAAGCTGAAAACCTAAGGATGGGTAATTTCTTTAAAAAATACCGCTCCTCTCATATCAAAAAATTTAATTTGTGTGTGGTCAGAAAAACTAAACTCTGGCAAATAAAAGCATAAAAAGTAATAAAAGTCACCTGGAATTCCACCACTCACAAATAATCACTGTTAACATTTTGATATGTGGATGATTTTGTTGTTGATACAAAATTGGAAGGATACCACAGGTAACGTTCTATATCCTGCTCTTTCTCACTATTTTGGCATGAACATTTCCCCAATGTTACTGATTGTTTATTGACAGAAAATATGTCATTTCGTGGGGTACTATTTCAATGTATAAACCTGAAAGTTGGGTTCCCCAAACAGAATGAACCAAGGCATATAGGTTGTGTAGTGCAAGGATAGCTTGTTTTTTTAGTAATTCATTTCAGAAGTATGTTTTGGATACCACAACCTTGGAGACACAAGGCTAAGAACTGACTTTGTATTTTTAGAGTTTACAGTATAGGAGAGGAGACAGACATGAATTCTGTCATCATAGAAATAACTATAAAATAGCATCCAAGATAAGTACCATAAGGGGGACATATGCATGGTCTGAAAGTGTATATCGGAAAGAAGAGAAGTAGCCACAGAGGTTTGAGAAGGTTTGCTGGAGTAAAGGGTAATGGAGCTCAGCTCTATCAGAGTTAACTAGGTGGAGATCCTGAGCAACATTGCCTGCAGAGGGAACAACATGTACGAAGGCCTTTAAGTTGGAGGGGGCATGGTGAATACAAGGATGTGAAAGAAGATAAAGGAAATGGAGTGGAGAGACTTGCCCTGAGAGGGAATTGAAGAAGTAGTTAGAGCTTGGTCCTACAGAAACTTTTAGACCGGGTTAAGGGTTTCGGTCATTTCTCAGAAGAGCAAGAACTGTTGAAGTGTTTTAAACCAGGGTAGGGCAGTAAAGATGAGATTGAGATTTGCTTTTTTATTCCAAAGAATCCCCTCACTGCAGTAGGGTGAAGGGATTGGAAGGGAGCAGGAGTATATGTAAGGGAATCAGGTTTGGATGACTAGTAACCCAAGCCTAGTGCGAGAGTGATTGCAATAATCTAGGCAGGACATGATGAAAGACTGAATTAGAATGGTGAAGTGGAAGATGGAGAGAGGTGGGTGGCGTTGACATCTTTACCTTAGGAGTAAAATTTGTAGGACTTGGCATGGAATGTGAGGAAATATGGTGAATCCGAATGACTCCTAGGTCTCTAGCTTGAAGAACTGGATGGAGGAAGGGTTCTTCCCCAAGCTAGGAACACTGAAAGAGGACAAGGGTGGAAAAAGACAGTCTTGATTGTTGTTTTGAAGAAGTTTGCTAGAAGGAACAATTCCAGGAATGGTATGTCTCATCACATCAGCTTCTTGAGGAGATGGGTTATACCATGTTTCCACACCACACTGAAGGGTCCGCTTTTTAAACGTAGGTAGTACTGAGGAGAAGGCAAACACTAGGCTTGGATATGGTGTCTCAGTTCCTGTGTCAGCTCCCTGCACCACCGTTTGTTGGGTGCAAAGCATTGAACAAGTCATTTTAAGGGTCAGTAGACCTTAGTTTCTTTGTCTTCAAAAAAAGGGTAATAACATTTAGACCAAAGGGTTCTTGTGAAGATTAAAGAACAGTGTTGATATTCAAGGACCTTGTAAACCTCTCTAAGCTGTACAAACACAGTATATTTTTATTCCTATTCCTATATTTGTTGTTATTGCCACTTAAAGCTCAATGCTGTTAATATTTGGAATATGCAATTTAATGTTTCTCCATGAGTTCTTAGGGGAAAAATTGTGATTGATGTCTAAATAAATAAACATACAACCCAGGAACTTGAGATGGTAGCCCCAAACTATTTATAAGCCTGTGTGTTTACTTGAATTTAGATATTTCTGACATGTAAATTATGCAGAGTTTGTGTCAGAGCACAGCACTCTGTATTCCTAAAAAGAATCCTCCTTTTTTTCTGAATCCTTTACCTTTTAAAATACATCTCATTATGGAGTGCTGACATTTTCAGTAAAACCATTCAACCAAAAGCTGAAGTTTTTTTAGACTAAAACAAGTCTGGTTTATTAGGCAGCAGCTTATAACTTACTGCTAAGTAGATGCAATCTATTTAGGGAAGTTTATGTAGATATCTGATAAGAAATTTTAGTCTTCATCTCTTTCTGACTAAGACTGAGAATGTCAAGCAGATTCTCAAGAATTTCCTCTTTCTCTCAAAGCCGAGGAGGAGGAGGTGAGTATCCCTGGATGGAGGTGAGTATCCACTGGATGGAAACTGTAGAACCAAGACTTAAACCAGCTCTCTTAAACTTTATGCCATCTCCTTTCACAATACCACTAACTTTACTAGGGTAATCTAGCTCAGTGTTTTTGGCCATAACCTTCTTCAACGGGTTGTGGTAAGATATAGAACTAATACTTATCAATATGTAATGGCAGGCATATACTAGGACCTCAATTAATGACCTCATTCTTCTTTTCTTCCTTTTTCTGCTTCTCCTTCTTTCTTTCAGTTCTGTCTCCCTTTTTGTGTCCTTTGTATCTTCTCCTGTATGTCCTCCTATTGATTCAACTCCTAACTTCATCTTGCCTATCTGTCATTAGACTACACTGTGAAGTGGCACATAATTGGGTTACCCAGGTCACTTGGTGACACAGGTGCCTTCCAGCAATAGTAACAGCTAATTTATAAAGCCCTAACAGAGAATCATTTCTTTTAATCTTCTCCCCAAAGGGATGATGTGAGTACTAGTATTGTCTTCATTTCACAGACATGGAACCTGAGCCATAGAAAGGTTAAAAGTCCAATTTTCAGAGTTAGTAGGTGATAAAGCTACAGATTTCCACCTCCATCCTCACACCACCAAAAGACTTCCAAAATGATGATAACTGGAACTTATTTATCCACTCAATAGATATGTATTTAGTGCAGGCTATTTGACCGATGGGGATGGAGTGAATAGCCCAACAGACACAGTCTCTGCCTTCATGGAACACACACATACACACATACACACACACACATGCATACACACACACAGGGTTGATACTCAGCCTACTCAGCTTGCACTTATTAGCGTTTCCCTATCTTCAGTATTGTGGTGTATATTCTGATTGGTCAGTGTCCACATGGTACCCATTGCTAAGCATTTTATACTTCATTTCTTCTTACAAACTGTGATAAATGCCACAAGGAGGAAAAGATGTCTGCTTTGAGGAAATACCACAAGGCCAAGTTTATACAGAGTTTAGGAAATCCTCTTTGAATGAGACATTTGAACCATGACTTGAACAATGAGTGTTTTCAGCCTACTCTGAGATGACCCTGAGTAGGGGCCGGATTATACAGGCGTGTAGTCCATGTTATGAACCTAAACTCAAGGGGATGATATTTAATAAAGTGAACGAGGAGTGACATCATTCAGTTTGTATGTTAAGAATTACACTGTGGTTACTGTGTGGAGAATGGTGGGAAAGGGGTGCCCATACCATTTACATATTAGATTGATTCTGTGTGGTGAGGATTCAGACAAGAATCGGTCATCAATCAACCTTTTCAGTTTTTTAGGGAAAAACAAAACATGTACTAAAACAATTCTAGTATAAGACTTGAAGTGCTGTATCCTAAAGGCTATGGTAAGCAGACAGCAAAAGCACTGTCAGTGTGGGGGAATTACGAACCATGTTCACTCTCTTTTAACAAGAAGCTATTGTTTTTTTCTTTCTGTTCTCTCTGTTGGAGAAATTCTGAACTCTCAGTCAGAATGTTCCATGTGTGTCCTGGAAGGCTCTCACATCTGAGGCCAATTAATTCAGTAAACACTTATCTAGTTTATCTCCTTATCTACTTTACTCTGGTTCATAAAAATCTCACTTCTCTTGTTTCACATTTCTACCACAAGGATATGGTAGGATGAGCTGCAAATAGGAATGAGATAACTTGGAAGACAGCGGACCTGTGTTCAAGTCTCCAATATACTTCCAGTCAGCAATGCAACCTTTGGAAATTAGTGTAGGCTAGTTCATGGTGAGTAAATTTGTGGTACGGATTCAGCTAGAACAGAGAGATATTTTTGGTGTCCATGAGGGAAGATGTCCTCCATGAAGTTTCCTAGAGGACTGGGAAGATGTGGGGAAGTATGAGTCAGTTGACTGCTAACACAACACACACTGGGTATTCCCCTAATGGATTCCATCGTGGATAATCAACCATCTTTGACCTCTGGGATGATGAAATAGTTCTCCATCATCTTCCACCTTTCCTCCTTCATTAGTCATGGGACCAGACCAAGTGGGGTAGTGGTGTGGTATTAGGTATTTCTCAGTCCCTCTCTCTTCTGAGTTCGTCAAACGTCACTGTTTTCTGTGCTAGGAGAGATGTGAATATCATTGTTTTTGAGTCAGACTATGTCGTCAATTTTTATTTGCTGTGATGATTCCTATAGGATAGACCACTGGAACAATGAGCAGGAGAGAATTCTGCTGGTCACGGACAAGACTGTCTTGATCTGCAAATATGACTTCATCATGCTAAGTTGTGTGCAGCTGCAGCGGATTCCTCTGAGTGCTGTCTATCGCATCTGCCTGGGCAACTTTACCTTCCCTGGGATGTCCCTGGACAAGTGAGTATATATCTTAGACTTGAAGAAGTGGTGTAGCAGGGATGGACATGCAGGGAAAACAACCTGAAAATTCAGTTTGGCACTGTAAGCTGGGAGAACCCAAGGGAGGATAGTGAAATCATGAAAGTTGAAATCATCAAACTACAGTTCCTACTCTGTCAGCCTCCAGGGGTACAACCTTAAGTAAATATATTTGTTTGTTTTCACGCTGCCGATAAAGACATACCCCAAACTGGGAACAAAAAAAGGTTTAATTGAACTGACAGTTCCACATGCCTGGGGAGGCCTCAAAATCATGGCGGGAAGGCAAAGGATCTGCTTATATGGCCACAGCAAGAGAAAATGAAGAAGGAGGAAAAGCGGAAACCTCTGTTAAACTCATCAAATCTCATGAGACTCATTCACTATCACGAGACTGGCATGGGAAAACTGGCCCCCATGATTCAATTACCTCCCCCTGGTTCCCTCCCACAACACATGTGAATTCTGGGAGATACAATTCAAGTTGATATTTTGGTAGGGACACAGCCAAACCATGTCAGTAAATTTGTATTTTAGTATGAGGACATGACAAATAAATCGCTAAATGTAAGTAAGAAAGAGCTGTGGGAACATGGGGAAAATGCACTCGACCGAATTTGTGTGTCAGATAATCAGAGAAAACTTTCAGAAGAAACACTTGAGCCAATATTTAATATTGGGTAGGAGTTAGCCAAAGAAGGACCAAAGGGGAAGAACATTCCAAAGAGGTAGCTAAAAAGTGGAATGCCTCTGGGAATTGAAATTATTCTGTAAAGCTCAGTGGATAGAACCAAAATGGGTAGTCGCTCTTCTTATAAAATGTCTCTTGGGATCATTCGTGGAAGCTCAGTGACATGGGGGTGGTGAGGTGTGTCAACTGTTTTACAGATGTTGACAACTACCAAGAGACTTGGGGAGGTCTACAGAGGAGAATGCTGAATTGGGCAAATTCCTGTCATGGTCTTTGAGGCATCTGCCTTTACTAAACATTTTAGATCTAAGCCAGAGAAACAACAGTCTTCCTCTAAGACTGAATGTGTGGTCTTCCCAATGAACTGTGAATTCCTTGAGGGCAAATATTGATTTTGTTGTCCTTTAAACAACTGGCATTAGGACTAGCACATAGTAGGGTCTGAAATATTTTCAAGATACAGAAAAAAGCACAAGTTCATCAGGTGACTGACTTTCCTTACACTATGCATATTACATGAAAAACTTATTTTTGCTTACTCTTTTCATGGATGCAGAAAGTGATTAATTTATTAAGTTCATTAGCTTTTAAAATTGTTGATTTTTTCAATAATAATATTACACATTGTAAAATATATATTTAAGTATTCCAAAAAATGTTCATTTTCAGGAACTCTCTCTTCTACACCAGACCCTCGGTTCTTCAGCCTTCTCTCCATGGGTGATAGTCAGCAGTTTCTTGGGTATTTTAAAATAAATAGTCTATAAATATAAAAGAATAAAAAGGTCTGTATTAGTCCATTTAAACGCTGCTGATAAAAATATACCTGAGATTGGGTAATTTACAAAAGAAAAAAGTTTATTGGGCTTACAGTTCCACGTGGCTGGGAAGCCTTCACAATCATGGTGGAAGGTGAAAGGCATGTCTCACATGGTGGCAGACAAGAGAAGAACTTGTGCAGGGAAACTCCCATTTTAAAACCATCAGACCTAATGAGACTCATTCACTATCATGAGAAGAGTGTAGGAAAGACCTGCCCCCATAATTCAATCACCTCCCACTGGGTTCCTCCCACAACACATGGGAATTGTGGGAGTTACAATTCAAGATGAGATTTGGGTGGGGACATAGTCAAACCATATCAAGGTCTCTCTGTGTATATATGCTTATGCACATTTAAAAGTATATATCTACACACTTATTTATTATGTATTATTTTACCTAATGAAAGCACATGTCATAAACTGTCCTGCCTCATGCAATAATATCTACCAGTGGTATACTTTGGAGATTTATATAATCATCTGTAGATCAATCTCAGTGTTTTTTAATAATGCAGAATATTACATCTTAAGTTTGATCTATTTAGCCAGTCCCTCATTGATGTGTATCTATTTTTACTGTTGCTACTACAAAGTGCAGCTACAAATATCCTTGCTTGCAATACTTTGCACAAATGTGCAATTGTTTCTGTAATGTATTAATGAATTCCTGGAAGTGAAATTTTTAGGTCAAAGTCATGTAAATTTTAACTGATGAGTATAGTCAAATTGCCTTCCAGACAGGTGATACCAATTAATACTTTCACAAAGTGTGAAGGCCATCTTTTCCACACACCCACACCAATATCAAATGTTTCAAAACCTTTTTACATTGCCAGTGAGACAGTAAAGAAAAGTCTCCTATTTGAGGTTTGAATTGCATCACTAGAATTTGAAGAACGGTATGTGTTTTTATCCTTGGATTAGAAAGCCATTTTATTTATTTTTCAGTGAACTGCCTATTTATGACTATATCCCGTATTTTTTTTTTGTTTGATTTTTTTCTTATTGATTTGTAAGAGCTATTTGTGTATTAGAGCACTGAAATCTTTTTCTGTCCTATATGTTGCAAATAAATTTTTCCCAGTTTGTCATATCTCTTTTAATGTTATGCTATTTTTCATGACCTTTAGTTTTGGGGTATTGATATGGTTTGGTTGTGTCCCCACCAAAATATCAACTTGAACTCTATCTCCCAGAATTCCCACATGTTGTGGAAGGGACCCAGGGGGAGGTAATTGAATCATGGGGGCTGGTCTTTCCAGTGCTATTCTTGGGATAGTGAATAAGTCTCATGAGATTTGATGAGTTTATCAGGGGTTTCTGCTTTTGCTTCTTGCTCATTTTCTCTTGCCACCACCATGTAAGAAGTGCCTTTCACCTCCTGCCATGATTCTGAGACCTCCCCAGCCATGTGAAACTGTAAGTCCAGTTAAACCTCTTTTTGTTCCCAGTTTGGGGTATGTCTTTACCAGCAGTGTGAAACAAACTAATACAGGTATCAAATTTCTCATTCTTTCAAGCCTTCTAAATTTATGTCTTTTTGAGAAAAGCTTTCTCCATACTATAATTATAAAGTAAATTTCCAAGTTTTTGTCTAGTAATTTTATTTTACTTTTAACAATGGACTTACATTTCATCTAAAATTTGCCTTGAGTAAAGAAGAAAGTATGCAATCAACTTTAATTTTTATACAGATGACAGGCTAGATTTCTCAATATCATATATTTAATATTTTATATTTATTATTTTATAATGTAGTACTTTCCTCTGTGAATTTCTATACCTGGATTCTCTATTCCATTCCATTTGTGTTTCTTAAAGCTCAAAATGGTTTTAATTATTATAACTTTATATTATGTATCAATATCTGGTTGAGTTACTCCCCATTTATTAGTCTTGCTTTTTAGAATTTGCATATTTATTTATGCATATTTGTTTTTTCATCAGCTTGCCTAATTTTTGAAAGTCTTATTTTTATTAAGATTTTCAAATATTAAGTCAGCTTTTCATTCCTAAGATAAACACATTTGGTTGTGACATGTTATTCTTTTTATGCATTGGTGGATTTAGTTTGCTAATATTTTATGGATAATTTTTATGCCTGTGTTCATGACGGATATTACTCTGTTATTTTCATTTTTTAAAATGTTTTTGCTAGGTTTTCATATTTTGGCTATGCTACCATCATAAAACAAGTTGGAAAATGTTCCCTCCTCTTTTATTTTCTAAAATATTTTGTATATAAGTGGAGTTATCTTTTCATTGACTGTCTGATAGAGTTAATAAGGGAAATCTTGGCTTGATCATTTCTTGGTGGGAAATTCTCATAATAAAGTCAATTTATTTTATAAATATTGTGTTTCTCATAATTTTTTCTCCTTGGGAGGCCCTCCCACCACAGGTCCTGAGGCCTAGGAGGACTAATTTTTTATTTCATATTAATTTTGATAAATTATATTTTTAAAGGAATTTGTTGTTTATTTAAGTTGTTGCATCTGAAGACATAAAGTTGTTAATATTATTTCCTTATAATCCCTTTAATGTCCATAAGATATTTAGTGATATCTTCTTCCTTTCCTGATATTGGTGATTTTATTTGTCTGTTCTCTCATTGCTATAAAGAACTGTTTAAGACCAGGTGATTTATAAAGAAAATAAGTTTAATTGGCTTATAGTTCTGCAGGCTATACAGGAAGCATAGTGGCTTCTGCTTCTGTGGAGGCCTCAGGAAATTTCCAATCATGGCAGAAGACAAAAGGGAGAGTGAGGCATCTTGCATAGTGGGAGCAGGAGCAAGAGAAAGGGGAAGGTGCTGCATACTTTTAAGCAACCAGATCTCACTACAGTGAGGACAGTACAAAGAGGATGGTACCCATTCCTGCTAAATCTGCCCCCATAATCCAATCACCTCCCATTAGTCCCCACTTCTAACACTGGGGATTTAGTCCTCCTAGGCCTCAGGACCTGTGATGGGAGGGCCTCCCAAGAAGGCCTCTAAAATGTCTGTGAGGTGTTTTCCCCATTGTCCTGGCTATGAGCACTTGCTCCTTTTTACTTATGCAAACTTCTGCAGCCTACCTGAATCATTCCCCTGAAAATGGACTTTTTTTTTTTTTCCTTTCTACCATATGGCCAGGCTTCAAATTTTCCAACTTTCATGCTGTTTCCTCTTTAAATATGAGTCCAATTTTAAGTCATTTCTTTGCTCATGTGTATGAGAATAGGTTCTTAGAAGCAGCCAGGCCACATCCTGAACGTGTTGATGCTTAGAAATTTCTTCCACTACATAATCCTAAATCATCACTCTCAAGTTGAAAGTTCCACAGATACCTAGCACAGAGGCACAGTGCAGCCAACTTCTTTGCTAAGGCATAACGAAAGTGACCTTTGCTCCAGTTCCAAACAAGTTTCTCATTTACATTTGAGACTTCATCAGCCTGGCTTTCACTGTCCATATCACTATC